CTTATCATATAATCCCACTATGTTTGGGCTATTGGTTTTTTAAAATATCTCCATCTTTACTCTAAGTAGAAAATCCTGTTATCATCAAGTAATATAATATATCAAGGCCCTAAGTCCATCTTGTCATATTTTACTATGCTATAGAAATCTGATTCTTTCCCCATAAAATCAAAGAGTTGGGTCATGTATATGTTTTCAAATTTAGTTCATGGTGAAATTATAATCATTGTGCTCAACTAGTAGTTTAGTGACCTTATAAGGTAATACTGCAAATGATTCTTCAGTGAATTTCAGAAAATAATGAGGCTATTTCCAGCAAAGAAAATGTTACTATTTTTGTTTCTCTGCTGTCAGAGATCACAGTGTATGCAGTGTTTAAAGATGAATGTTTTGGAGTCAGAAAGACTTAGATTTATATCTGGATTCTACAGACTTACTAGCTCTGTAACTTGGACGTTTTATCTTTTAAGTTTCAGTGTCACATCAATGGAATGTGATGTGATATAATCATGTCAACTCCCAAGCCCATAGGGCTGTAAGGAGGATTAAATAATACAAATAAAATGCTGAGCAGAATATATTAGTGTTTACTTAGTAATGTAATACTAAATATATATATATATATATATACATCTATATATATATACCTAGTAATATGTATATATACACATATATAATATATATGTATGTTACTATTATTATTATTATTATTACTAATCAGAATCAATCTAGAAGTATGGTTGAGCAATGGCTCTGGCACCAGACCGTCTGCATTCAGTTCTCACTTCTTCTACTTACTATCTTCATGAACCTGAGCAACTTACTTCTCTGTGTCTGTTTCCTCATCTGTAAAGTGAAGACTCACAGTATCTAACTCATATAGTTGTGAAGATTAAATGAGTTATAATATACATAAATCACTTAACAGCATTGTTCAATAGAACTTTCTATAATTATGGAAATATTCTAAATCTGTGCTGTCCAAAATGATAGCCACCAGCCACATGTAGTTACTGAGTACTTGAAATTTGGCTAGTGCAACCAAGGAACTGACTTTTCAATTTAATTTAATTTAATTAATTTAAATAGCCACATGTGGTTGGTGGCTACCATAATGGACAGAGCAGACTATAACATTACCTATCTTAAACCATTAGCATTGTTTAGTAAACGCCGACCTAAGTATATTAGCTGATAGCAATGGTGGCGCTATCATTAATGAGCATAATTTACAAACAAGCAATTGCTTATTTCCAGCAGTGATCATAGGCAGAGGAGAAAAAAATTCATCTTTTAGCAACACATGTAATAATAATACATGATTGAAAGCACAGGAAGTAAGGGCTGTGAGGTGAACTAATAAATTATGTGACTCATATAGCCAACTAAGTTCATTCTTTCTCAAATTTTTCTCATTTCAGTTTCAATTTCGAACATGGTTATGTATACTGTAAAGCGTATACTCCATGGAAGAGCTCTTGTAATTTCCTAAAAAGTAATTTTTTCCCAAAAGTGTGTGTGTGTGTGTGTGTGTGAGAAAGAGAGAGAGAAAGAAGGAGGGAGCGGAGAGAGAGACTTGTTTACCAAAGAATCAGAATAGTTGCTCATTATCATGAAATAGCATCAAAGACAAGAACTCAGTATGTTAATATTGGTGAATGGTATTTAACTTGAAAAAGCATCATATTTTGTCAATTTTTTAAAACAGAGATAGTTTAAATGAAAAATTTTAAAGAACCAAGGACATCAAATATGTGGAAAAGGATTTAATGTCACCAAGTATGACATATGCTTTATCCTTTTCTCTGGTCTGAGTAATACTCTTCTCTAAAGTGAATGCACATAAAAGCTTCTTGATTTAACCATCTCAGGATTGCTGAAGGCTTCCTTGACTTAAGGTTTTATGAGAGCAAGAAAATCAGAAATATAATTATGTTGATGTGGAATGATTCTTACAGCACTGAAGAAAGCACTGCAGAGTCCCTAAAAAAAAAATAGATGTGAACAGATATTTTTACCTACAATAGTCATCATTCTCAACATTTCACAGATACCATAGCATGGCACATCACTTAAATCAACACAGAATATGAAAATACTATGTGTGTGCTCCATTTTCCTCAAAAGAACAGAGGGAAACATCTCCACTTAAATTCCTAAACAGAAAATATTGATGTTAAATGTTGGGCAGGCTTTTTTATTTGGTTTAGTTTGAGTTCTAAGGCTCATTATCAACTCAGTAGTCAGACGAAAGATGTTAAATAGGGACAAATGTCAGAAAAGTGACACTGAGTATTCATTAACTGCAGAAGAAGCACTATAAAACCTGGAAAGGCCCTCTCCTTTCAATACCCCACCCCTCCCAGGCTTCCTCCCTGCTTCAGCATCAGGGAAGTCTGGGAAGTATTTATATACCCTTGCCAGCAGTTAATTACAGAGATAATCTCTGGAAACAAACTGATTAGACATGACATGTGAAATTATCTGAGAAGACTTAATCTTCTAATCATATTCAGGTCTAAAACCTATCCATGAAGACCCAAACACTTGGGCCAATCTTTCAAATATCTAATTTTCCCTATCACTGTCATCAGTGACCTGAAAGGATACACTTGGCTTTCCACAGCATGGGGATCTTCCTGTAGAGCTAGCCTACCAGTATAGAAATGATTCTCAACCCGGAGCCCATGGGCCCCAGAGGGCACATAGGTCTGCAATGAATCCCCTAAAACTACATGTGGGCTTTGTATGTCCCATATATTTGTCACTGTTTACGTCTGTGTGGTATAAGGGTCAGTAAATACTATCAGATTATTTTAAGGAGCTTGTGCCCGTACTTGTAAAAGTATGCCATGAGGAAGGCAGATGGCTCCAAAATATTTTCCTTTCCAAAATTAAAGTGATCAGAGCAAATACTTTTACCAATAGTGTGTCTGAAGTAGCCCCACTTTCTCTAATTTAGAGTTTTTATAAATATTATCTTTATCTTGTATTTTTAAAAATTCAAAAGCATTCTGAAATTTCTTTTCAACTTAAGAAAATATTTGGGACACATTTGAGAATTAAACCTACAGTATTATGCATTCTCATACCTCCAACATCAATGATAGAGTCGGGACATTTGGGGAGAAAGTGAAAAACTGTCTTCCAAATGTTTTGTCTGCATCAGTGGTTTTCATCTGGCTGGAGGGGTGAGGGACAGTTTTCTAAGTTGGTCTTTAGAAATCAAGAGGGGTGCTTAACATTGATTACAGGCTCCACTGCCAGAGATTCTAATTTAATTGTGTGAGTTGAGCCTAGACTGCCATAGTTTTAAAGTTCCCCAGGTGATTCGGCCTGTGCATGCCAGGCTGAGGACCACTGATTAAAGTGCTGAACACACTGCTTGGCAAACAATTCATGCTCTGTAGGTGACACCTGCTGCAGTCACCATCATGATCAGTATCTGCTTCACCCCTGATCCCTCAGAACCCACTCTCTGCCCATCTTACCTCAGAAGATGGGGTTTTGAATGTAATGAACATGGAGAATTGACTGGAATTTTCATTTTTCTTATAGATTTTAAAAAATCTCATAGATATAGATTTAGTCACACACTATATCTTAAAGAGTAAAGCCATTAGGTTTTATTCTTAACTATAGAGTCAGTGAGAGTCTTCTCTCCAGACAATGCTCTTCCTCTTTTCCTCTATTCATAAGAAAGGCTCATTTCCACATGATTTTTTTTCTGTATTATACACTGCTTAAAGAAATAAGGTATAGTAATGACTGGGTTGTTATATAGAAAACTCAAATGATCATTACTTTTTTGTAGCCAAACTACTTTAACAAATATTTACTGGGCACTGGCTAGATACTAGAGTAGAAAGTGGGCTGAAATATAAGGTGAATAAAAAAACTACCCCAAGCATTGCTACTTCAAAAAAGTATGAGCTATAATGTATTAAGTCTTTGCCACATGGTATGCAGTGTGCTAGCCGCTTTGTATGTATTATCTCATCCTACCCATTTCTTATCAGAAAGAACTTTTATTATTATCTAGTTCCCAAGTTACTTAAAGTTTATACAGTTCCAACTATTTGGGGTACATAATCTCTAAACAAACAACCAAAACTATGGTCACCTGGCCATTTTTCAGCACATGGTGTTGGTGTTGGGAAACATATAGTTCCAAGGGCAAAGGGCAGTGACCACACAGATTAAACACAGCATAAGAATTACTACTAATAATAGCAATGTACATAGATCACCTCATAGAAATGTCAGTCACTGTCAGAGACAAAAAATCTGAGTCTCAGAAGGTTGTCACCCAAGGCCCCACTGCTAGTAAGTGTTGAAGCTAGCATTGAACTCTCATCTCCTGCCAAATACCTGATACTTCTGAGATTTGTTATGGAGGAACTCACCAACAAATAGCCTCACATCCTGCTGGACTCCCATGTCGTAACTGTAGAAGAATTCTCTTTTGTCTATTTTAGTGTCCAGCTTTCTCTTCTTCAAGTTCAACAGTAAGGACTCCCTCTTTGGACACACTTTTTTACAGTGTTTCTAATATTTGCAAGGCACAGTTTCCCTGGAGCGATTGTTTCCCCTTGAACTCAGGAATCCCCCAAGTGCTGGCAGGAAACTTGAGCCCTATCCAGAAGCAGAGTTCGCCTGGCCACCCTGATCACAGAAATCTGTTGCTACACCAAATGCACTTCCACCTCCTGCTGACAAAGAGAGCAGCTGGTAGCCAGGTTATTAACCTGAGCTCTAATTAGAGTGGTTTTTATAATGAAGAAAAGTGTGTGATTCTAATTAGTAATTTTCTATCTCTTTCTCAATAGGTATATCCCCCCATCAAAGCAATAAGCTATTCTCATTGCACTAGTTCCATTGCCAAAAAATAATCATAGTGTAAAACAGAAGCAAAGTAAAGGTGGTTAAGGGCACAAGAGAGCAGAAAGAGGTTTTATGTGCTGCTAATTATCTGCATTCTCCCCCAACTCATTTCTTAGGTCCGCGGCCCAAAGATGGTTGGTTCTGACATGGTTGTGACAGTTGAGTTCACTAATCCTTTAAAAGAAACTCTTCAAAATGTTTGGATACATCTGGATGGTCCTGGAGTGATAAAACCAAAGAGAAAGCTGTTCCGGTATGTGCTAGGGAGTTGTGGGAAGGTGATGTGGGGATTTGGGAAGCTTATCTCTCTCTGTCTTTACCAAACTTATGTCTAATCCCTAATGAAAATGTCCAAGAAACTGCTACTTCCTTATTGTCATTTCTTTGGGACAAGGGATAAAAATAGGGTTGGTTCAACTGGTACGTTCATCATCTAATCCTTAAAACTATCCAAACGAGGTAGGTACTGTTATTATTTCCTTTCAGTAGCAGAGGAATTTGAGGCTTTGAGAGGTCAATTGGTTTGCCCCAAGTTGCACAGTTTATAAGAATAACACAAAGTTTCAGATTCAGGGTGGCTGAATCCAGAACCCAAGTTTTAAGCATTTTGCCATACAACTTCCTCAGGTATCAGTCCTACTAATATTAACTAATATCTGTGTGTCAGATATTATGCTGAAAGATGTTCCTTTTCATGGGTCCTTTCTATCCAACTCCACCTCCCGGACTTCACCAACCCAAGCACTCTCTAGAACTATTGCTTTCAGTAGAATAAAGGTGAGCCTAAAGAGTTTGAGACTAAGTTCCTTAGTCAGAGGACTAATGACAACCCCAGGTTCAGTAATACTTTGAATGAAACTGCTTCTTTCACACCTAGCACTGTCAGATTGTGCTATACAGTTCTCAGCTTCTGTGAATTGTACTGACAAAGACTGTCACTCAACAAGACAGACCATTCCACGGTCAGGTAGCACTAATTGTTAGATAACAATGCTACTTTTAGATCATCCCAATGATCCCAATTCTGTCATCTGGACCTATATACTGAATAAGGCCCATCTCTCTTCTATCTGATGGCTTGCAAATATTTGCAAACAACTGTGACATCTTTCTTGAGTCCTCTCTATAGCTACCCTGACTTCATTCCTCTCACCTCTAATGTGGTTTTAGCTTCCTCCCTCTCCCACATGTTCCAATTTGTTAGTGCTCCTCTTAAGACTGTGATACCAGAATGGATCCCAGTCTTGAGGTTTATTACTTTCATTTCTACCACAAATAAGTCCCTGTCAGCATCAATCAATCTAGAAAATTTCCTGTGGGTGACCTTCTAAGGCATAGAAAGGAGGTGAAGGGTTTTAGAAACTGCCTCATGACCGGATATGTTAGGAATTCCCCCAACGTCCTTCATAGAAGCTACCTTGATCTGTAATCTGTGGGACAAGTACAAGGCCTTCTTCATCCTTTCTCGGGTGGCTTTAAAAACCAATTTTCCCACTAAGGGCTCTCTGCATTTCTTTCAAATTACAGTGTTCACAGCTTCTTCATCCCATAGTTTAAGAGGTACTTTATGCTTGTGCATGCAATAAACAGTAGAGAAAATGATTTGAGTGCTTTAAAAAAAAATGCAAGCACAAAACTTAACAACTTTCCTGTGCTAATAGGAAAGTTGCAGGGGGGTGGGGGAGAATTAAATTAGAAATCAACTCCAGCTAGAGGGAGAGGTCAGCAGTAATAGTCCTGCTTTCGTCAGAAATGATAGTCTCACTTGTCCGTTCTCACACCTTCTCACTCGAATCAGATACAATAATCACTCAGGCAAAGTGAAACACATTTCTACTTCTAAAAAGTCCCCTGCCGTATCCAATTTTCCATCTCAAATAGTAACCCCACAAGCTTTATCTGAGGATATGGGAACTTCCAGCTACCTTTACACCTTGGCTGTCTCAAGAATTCCACCTTAATCAAAAGCCAGTACACATAAAGAAGCAATCTATGTGTTAAAATAAAGATTAATGCTCACTCAGAGTAGTGATCCACTACTTAGGTGGGTCTCAAAATAGGTTGAGTGTCCAGGTGCATTGTTTATTGTTAATATCTGACATTGGGACAGGTAAAGTGGAGTGAATCAGGAAAAGTATGATAGAGGCCAGTCCCTACATGAACACTAGGCAAATGGCCCACCCATATTATTACTAGTTACTTCAGCATCTTGGTCTATGGCAGATGGGTAATAGATAGAATGTCAGGTCTTCAATCTCTTATGGAAATTCAGATCCAGGGGTGAAGCTTTCCAAAGCAAGGGAAGCTTTATTTCTCAGACACTGTCAAAAATTGGAAAGAATTTGAAATAGAAAATATTTATTATCCAGGTGAGCTTAAGACTTTGGAGAAAGCACTACTTTCTTCATTTCCCCCTGACTCCAGCACACACCTTCACAACCAAGACCTGAGCCAGCCAGTGCCCACATCCACATTGCCAGATAATTAGAAACTCCAGTTACCCTCTGCTGCCAAGATCAAATCTATGGGTGACAGATCCATATATTGACATGGGCCTTAAAAGGGGCAATTCTGTAGAACCAGAATCTTTCACAAGATTATATTTCTTTCTAGGATACACATCTTGAATAGTCTAGAGAGTCACCACCCCACCTGTCCACCCACACCCATGCCAGGGCCCTAGAAGGCAGGGGTTCTCTAGCTCAAAGCAAGGGCCTGAAAGGCAGGAGCTGGTGAGCAGGGAATTGAACTAGAAACAAGAAAGGCAGATGGTGCCATGTCTCCTTCCTTGATCAGGGTACAAGCCAACTCTACTCTAAGATAGTTTACCTTCCTGCCCTTCCCCCACCTCCTCCCACCTGTCTCAAATGCTTGGAGGTGCTGCTCCCACAGACTCTCAGCTTTCAAGTTTCTACACTTGATACTCCAGAACATCAAATAATTCATCTTCCAGATTCATTTTTCTCTTTAAAAAATGGTCAGATTCAGGAAGTTATTTCAAGAAAAAAGTTCCCTGACTTTGTAATATTGGTTTAAATTTTGAGTTTTTCAAATAGGACAGAAGCTAAGGGCTAGACACACAGAGGACAAACCATAGATAGTTGCAGTTTATTGTAATAATAATCCCATTTGCCTGCGTGTGTTCAAGATGATAAATGGCCAGCATATCCTGATGGTTCAGCACATTACTGAGAATCATTTATCACAACATCTATCCCCAGGCAAATAGGATTATTCCAGTATTACTCCACTTACCAAGATGGGTAAAGAATTTTTTCTCTCTTTCTGTATGTAGGTAAATGCATACTTAGACATGCATGTATATCTTCATATATGAGTATATTTGCATGATACTCACACATGATAAGTACACATGTATACATGTATGAGATGCAGGTATAAATATCATTATATGGATGAGTTTATGAGTAAGTGCAAATAATGAAGTAAAGCTTGTGAATGCATTATAGTTTCTGCTTGAGGTTACCTTTATTACATGGCCTTAGGCCAGATCCTTAAGCAGGACAACTATCTTACAGTGTTTCTGATTGATCACTTGGTAAAACCAGAGAAGAGAAAATGAATGGATCAGGGTTAAAATAACAATTACTGAGAAATAAATATCTCAAAATTTACATTCATATTGAATTAATCACTGTAAATTAAAGATGGAAACTGCTACAGGCAGAGTGAACTTACTTTCCTAAATTATTTTGTAGTGAGTTCAAGCAGAGCAAACAACAGCTACGAAAGTGATAGTAATAATAAAAGTAATAATAAGAACAACGCTACATATCTAACACTTGGCACTTACCATGTCTTGCCATAGTTTTATGCACCGTGCAAATATAAACTCACCTCACCCTCTCCACAGCCTATTCAATATTCCAAAGTGTCCACCTTTTACAGGTGAGGAAAATCATGGTGAGGTCAGTGATTTTCAAACCTTGAATCATAAAATCAATATACGGAATTTGAAAAATACATATATAGGTTGTATGTGTACTTTTCACACAATTTGGCTTTCATCTAACTGATTTAAATAATTTATATAGCCACATTTCTAAAGAACAAAAAATAGGAAAAACATTGACAAATACCAAATTAACTGAGACATTCAAACTATCAGTGTCAAAGTCAATGCCTTGGAGTAGCCCCAAAGAAAGAGGTCCCCAAGGCCTTAGGTGCCTTTCCCAATTCACAGGCCACGGATATAAGTGAAAAAAAGGGACTTCTTATTCAGTGTGTGGGTTTCTAGGATTTAAAGACTTTTCCCTTTTTATACCACAGCTAGCTGAAATACATAGTTTTAGTGATATTTGAGGAAATCTTGAGGTACCAACTTTATGTAGAATAGGTCCAACACAGGTATGTGGTCCTGTGTTCCTTCCCTCACTTTGGTTCTGTCTAAAGTGGTGCTCTATGGCTCCAGCCCCCAAGAGCAAATGGGGACTCATGTAGCTAAGACCTTTGAGCCACTCTAGACTTTCCTTCACAATTCTCCTTCCTTACAATCCCTCCAACCACCCAAACTATAATGTCACTCCTAGCTCCTTTGGTCCCCCAGGTCCTTCCATGGGGTACTAGCAGGATGTAACCTCCTCCAGCCCTGACCCCTTGCTCAGTTGTCTGTGAATCTAGCCACGGAATTCCTCTGTACAACATGTTCTTTGTTTCTGAATACGAGCACCCTTATTATGTCCCCCAATGTATCTCTCTTCATCCATTATCTGGGCCATTGGGTTCTGTGACTGTGAAAGAGTCCTTAGTCCCCTTTGGATCGCAGTTAGTTTCCTCATCTGTAAAATGAGACAATCAAACTAAGTGATTTCTTAGTCCTTTCCAATTCTCACGTGCGAGGCCTTAATAACCCCATGAAAATAGTCAGATTCCTTTTCTCTCTTTTCAAGACATGCATGGGGCTTCTGTTTATTTCCCTAATGCTCTCCCAGAAAACCACTAGTCCAGGGTCCCATACTAAGCCAACTAGCATGTGTCCTCTAGCAAAGACCAAGAATCCTCTGTGGTCAACACTTGCAGGAAGTTCTTCCTACAGAATTAAAGGTTATCTGTCTTGCTTGAGAAAGCAAACATGTAAAAAAGTAAGCACAGTGATCAAGAAGTCATCTTCTTATAGGATATAGTATGAAATACAGTATACACTAGTAGAAACAGCATGGATTTGGGAATCAGATAAACTTGGGTGCAAATCTCGTCTCTGCTCATTAACAGCTCTGTGATCTTGGAAAAGTTGCTTCACTTGTTTAAACCTCCATTTTTCTTCCAAAATATGTCAAGTAGTAGCTACCTCTAGAGACAATTATACAGATAAAACCTGCATATAACCTCCTCCTGAGGCCTACATGGGGTAATATAGGTAAAGCATCCCAGAAAAGCCTAAATCCTCCCAACTTCAGTTTTGTGCTGCAGTGGGCTTGACCATGACACTTAGGAAGACCTCAGAACATGGGCTACAGAGGAAAAGGAGAACACCTGGACCACTACAGATTAGCTCCATTATCAGGATGGATTTGGGCATTGGCACAGATGAGAGCAGAAAGGCGCATGGGCAGAAGACCTAATTTGATGGTTGAAACAGGATTACAAATTACAAAGAATGCATATAGTCATAGTCAGTTCACAGCAGGTAGGGTCATGATCTTGGGCTGGGAACAAGGTCTATTTCAAGGGGGTTGGTAAGAACTAATTAGAGTGTCAGGACCTCAGCAAAGGCAGCTGGGGGATTCAGATAGGAGTCTAGGCCCAGGAGGGAACTAGAGTGCCAAAAAATGAGCTGAGGCAGATCAGTCACACTGACAAGGCTACTGGGGAGGCTTGGAGACAAGTTAGAGTTCAGTTAACTCGTGGCTTGTGCGGCTCAGCCCAGCTCCACCAGACCACGTATACTGGGAGACATGCATCCAAATGGAAATAACCATGCTCCAAGGAATTATCACTGGCAGGGTCTGGCAGAGCCTCATTAGGGGCCTCATTTGGGTTGTAACTGGTGGAATAAGCCAATATCCTAACCACCACCAACTAGAAGGAAAAAGAGGTTCTCCTGCTACCCAGTCAAGATAGGAAACTGGATCTGCCTCTCTGGAAAGTAAAATCTTTCTTTTCTTTTCCATCCTTTCAGTGAAATCCAGCCCAACTCCACTGTGCAGTGGGAAGAAGTGTGTCGGCCTTGGGTCTCTGGCCATCGGAAGCTGATAGCCAGCATGACCAGTGACTCCCTGAGACATGTGTATGGCGAGCTGGATTTGCAGATTCAAAGACAACCTTCTATGTAAATGCACAGGAGGCTGAGATAGATCTAGGCACTTGGCCTTTCGTTGTCTTGGCTAAGGAAATTCTAATGCAAAAATAGTCAGCTCTTGCTTTAACTTAGGTGTGAAGACCTAGATAGGACTGGGTAGGGCCCAGAGTGGGGATGCCATGTATTTCAAAAACACACTTTTTCAAACCCAGGCTACTCAGTGTGGAAGTTAGTTTTTAATTGCTCCACCTTTTGAAGGATTCTGAGGATTAGCTTTAATTAAGCTCTAATTAAGCTCTCATAGCTCATAAGAGTAAAAGTCATCATTTATCATCACAAATGGCTGCAGCTCCAAATATCAGAGGACTTCCCTTAGTGAGGGGATTTGCTTAATACCTGGCCTCATGTAAAACAAGACTTCAGATCCCCACTCAGCCTTTTGGGGGTAACATACTCCCCAAAATGGAGAGAAGTGCGTGATTTGGGCACTAGAATTCTATTCCCTTTTCTTAGAAGCAGTTTCTGCTCTCTGTGTCAGAATATTTTTCCCAAGAATTGAGTACAACATCATTTGTCTTCTTGGCAAAGCCAGAGAAAGGTCTTTCATCTTGCACCTGCAGCGAAACAACTGCCTGCCAAATTTCACAGAAGATGTGGCCCCGTATTAACAAATTGCATTTATGAGAAACTTAATCACCTAAGAGGAGATGAGAAAGCAGGTGTAATACCCAGATCTATTAAATAATATAGTTTTATGGTGCATTTTATAGGAGGTGTCACACCATGGCCTGATCA